ACGACAACAAGACTACCCTTTCGTCCCCTCGTCTCTCTCTCTCTCTCTCTCTCTCACACACACACACACACACACACACACACACACACACAATTCAATCTAAACCTCCCTCAGTGAGGGATCCCACTAGATCAAACACTGTGTGTCGGGTCCGACCAACTTAAAACACCCATTATTTCTAGTAACGCAAGTAGAGTTGTGCTTTCCTGTACTTCACTGCACAGAAAGAGGAAAAAGAGGTTTTCTTAATCATTCTAGAGTTATATGTATAAATATTATTCCGAAGACACTGATTACGAAGACACAGTGGTCAAAATCATGCTCTGCCTCAGCATAGTCTCTCCGGTGATAGAATCAATATAGAGCTGCAAAGATCCCTACAATCTGAAGGGGCTACACAGGGTACAGTGCAGCTGGGCATGAAGCTTTATGATCTCCTCCACATCGAGGACATCTAACCTAGCTACTGGGCTGCAACAGCCCTCGCAGTGTCCCTAGACTGGAGGGGAGGATTCTTTTCCTCCACTCCTTTGTGTCTGACCAGCATCAGGCCACATACTGAGGCTGGAGCCTGGGCTTAGGATTTGCCTCCATGTGAGCCATTCTTCATGGACAATTCACTATTTTGGGGGCATAAAATTCAACCCACAGATCTGACCAGTTTCGTTCCCTGAAGCCAGAGGACTGAAAGTCCTGGTAATTTTACCCTGCTTGGCGTAAACATAGATAATACAGGTATTTTTATTCCCCTCCCCCCCCCCCCCAAAAAAAAAGAAGTGAAATGTTTTTTTGAAATGTATTAAGTCTTCTGCCTCACTAATACTCTGTGGGGGCGAGTTCCACAGTGTAGAAAACAAGGTTTCCTTTTATACCGTCTTGTTAAAAGCGATAGAAATAAAGACTAATTTAATCTCAGAGGTTTGGACAGTTTAGCTCTCTGAATAAAGGGTGCCCCCAAGATTCTGGCTGCAACTGCTTTACTCCATCCCTTTGTGGCCTATCTAGAACACCCTATATCTCCTTCACCCTGGAATAGGCAGCAAGGTGCTCATGTGCAGGATACTGGTGTTCATACCCAGCTGAACCAGCAGCCTCCTCTGTTCCTGTAGGATCTCCTCCTGGGTCATGGAGTGCAACTTCTGTAGGTTCTCCTCGTGGATAGCCAGAGCTTCCTGCTCACTCTCCAAGCTTCCAAGACCCTCTCCAGTTATGATACGAGGTCGCTGAGTGCTCACATCATCATCAGGTTTGCCTAGAAAATCCAGCAACAGAAGTTATTAGTGAGTCAAATGTCTATAGCATTATTAATTCATCCAAATCTGAAAAGATCAAAAACATGTCACTGCACAGAAATCAACTACTTTCCAGTTGTTTCAGATAAAAACAGTATTTAACAATGGATTACTAGCCAAGGTAACAGTGAATATAACCTATTCCAGTTTTTCCAGCCACTGTTACCTGCCCTTTAGGTTCCTGCTCCAGGTTTAATGTTAGCTCTCTGCTAAGCCCTGGTACACCACCACTGCCCCCAGCCTATCCATGTTTGCAATCTCCAACACTCACACTGCTCTCATGATTGTAAAAGATGGAGCACTACCCAAACCGCACTGCAGGTTAGAGCGCACATAAACAAACAGGTGAAAGTCTGCTAAACAGACACATTTGCCTTGAAAGGTTGGGGACTGCTAATCTACTGATTTTCTTCTCCTTGACTGTTAGATCATGCCCTGAGCAAACCCCAGCTCTCTCTTTATCTGCCAATCTAACTCCCTTCTTAAAGAAAGGGTTAAATGGAATGAGCCTAACAGTGGTATAAAATTCTCATTTTATCAGATAGACTTAGATCCTTCAACTGGTCCATGGTCCACCCCACAAGGACATGGTCTCCCGGATTCAATTCTTTTTGTCTGGAAGGACAGCACATTCCATCTGCTCCATACAATACCAGAGCATCCCTAATACTGTAAACTGGAAATCCTGCAGGCATTGGACTGCTCTTCAAACAGTTCTAAGTAACATCTCTGTAACAGTACCAATCATGTTTTGTACTGTCTCCACAGCAGCTGAAAGCCTTGTGTATTGAGCATTTGGGAGGGGGGGGAGAGGGGACCAGGCAGCTGGAGAGGAGCCAAGTATGGGGAGAATGGCCTATCAGAAGAAACCCTAGGCTTCCCATCAATACAGCTGACCATCTGAGAGTCACCAGCCATTTAACATTAGACACACAGAAGAACAACCCAATCTACATTAGTGGCGGCCATTTCAGTATGACAGTTGAGACAGACAGGGGCTTCATGACTCACCATCCTTAGTGCTGTGGAGTGGCTCCTCCTCTGCTGATCCAGGGGAACAGATGGCACCTGGAACTGCTGATATTCTGTGTGTATGCCTAGTCTCAACAGCAGGTGGAGCTGTCACAGCCTCTTCAGCTGCTCTCTTAGCAGCTATCTTCTGTGCAAAGATACTTTTTCTTCCAGATTCCACCTTCACCTGTAGGAAGATAAATTCCCAGATCAACACTACCTCGTCTCCAGATGCCCCCACCCTCATATCACAGACAACCGTGTATACACTCTACAAAAGTGTTTCCAAAACAGGGGGTTTAGAACAGGACATTTATGAGGGAAATAAATACTAGTGTCTGCCCTCTCTCCTGCACATGCATGACGGTTTTCTACTGTATTGTTTGAAGGTAGAACAGAAGGAGAAAAATAATTGCCCTCATTGTTTGCTGATTAGAGGCAACTGGGTTTAATTATAGGTGAACTCTGGCAAATCAGAAAGCAGATACACCTCAATATCCATGAGCACAACAGCTCACGACGTCCAGTTAATCTGAAACCCTGCTTATCTGAATGCTTTGCATTTCTGAGGATAAGTGGGGGTTGTACTGTACTCACCACATGCTTGGAACAGGCTTCTTACAAGATTATTGGACTACAGTGGGGTGAGAAGATTTACACAGTAATAAGTGGGCGAGTGATGCTAAAATAATCCTGGCTAAATTAATGCGCTGCTTGTGCTAAGGAAGGTAATCCATGCACCCTAAAGAAACAGGACTCCTGCACTTTTCTTGCCCAGTGACGGGAGAAGAGTGCCTAAAAAATGAGAGCCTATTAAAATAAAACTCTGAAGTTGCTTCCATATGCTTATATATTTATAGTAACAAACTTGGTGGTTTAATAGAACCTACTCCTTTTTAATAGTCTTCCCTCTAAAAAGCCATCTCTTCAGATGCACCAGCACATCCATCATGTGTCAGCGCCCCAGAAACTGGATCCCGCTCTCGCTCAGTCTTGTTTTCTTAGCCTGCACCTCCTGTTACTGCAAAACTAGGTTGACAGAAGCTGCTGCTTCTGATTCTAGCTTCTCTAGCAGATTTCAGGCCAAACTAAATCAAAACCCACAAAGCTGCAACAGATACGAATGCAAATGAACTCACAAGAGGGTTTGTGAAGTAGTACCACCCCTTGGGGAATTGATATAAATTGAATCATTAAAGTCTTTTATTCTTTATTAATAGAATATGGTGTTTTCGCTGGTTAAAAAACAAAACAAACAAAACAGGCCATGTACATGGTGAGACCTGGATTCTCCCACGCTTCCTCAGCAAACAGCTCTGAAGGGACCTCTCTCTTTCTAGATTAGGGGAATTCAATCTCATGTAGTTGTAGGATACAAGGCAACCCCTGACTCTGATTTGGCAGGACAGCTCTTTCTTGTGATGAGGAGCAACTTCAGTAGATATGGGAGTTAGCTCCTGATCTCCAGCATGCTGAGCTGCCTGCTTATAGCCCAGAGAAGCACCAATACTGTTGGCAGGCATTCTGCTCTACAGTGGGAAATTCTGGTAGTTAAAGAAGAAAGTGAGGGAAGACTCGGGTGAAGCTGCATTTCTGACCTCATTTTTTATTTCAGACCGGTGAAACGCTCTGGGAAATGGGTCTCCAGTGGGCACTGGCATGGTCACAGCTGCCATGCTTGTGTCTCGTTCCTGCAGACAAGAAAAACAGAAGGAACTAAACAAACTACTTCTTGCATGTGCACACACAAATTGTTCGCTCTTCTCAAGGGGCTCCAGGATACTGCAGTGCCACAGCTACTGGATTCACCACACTCTAGGACAGCAAGGGCTTCCTCCCATCTGATAACACTCCCTCCCTAGTGCTCTATTCACAGCAACCTGACACACCATTACAACACACAAGCACATAACGCACAATGATTTTGCTGAAGACTGCCGTGATGTGTCGATCATGACACTCCAATCTCTCCTCTGGATCCTCATCATCAAAGCGGACACAGGCATTTTTGAACTTGGACTTCTTTGGAGGTGCTGGAGTTAGGGCTGGGAGCACATCCGGAAAGTCTGAAGAGGCAAAAACAACAACAAAAGAACCTCAATGCATATTCCATGAGGCTATTTATGATGCACAGGAGTTACTCATATCTTCTAGGGACTAGATATGTACTAGGAAATCTTGCTCTGGTATTTTAAGGTGCCTATTACCTTGGCAAGAATTGAACATGATGAAGCAGCAAGTTGAGAATTCTCAACTTCTCTGGGAAGCAGAGGGTTTGAACTTATGTAGTCACAGATTTTATTGCTGATTTATTTACAGGCATCACTCCTGGGGAAAGGCTTTAAAGAGTTGTATGCACAGGGAAGAGCACTGAGTTCAAAATTGCAGGTCACAAGGGAAAGCTATAGGTACAAGGGCAATACACAGAAATGCTAAGACAACATACAGAAACAGAGAGGAAACACTGTTCTGCAGTTAGAGCACAGGCTAAGGATTCCAGAGACCAAGCTTCTAGTCCCCACTCTGCCAGTGACTCTCTGTGGGACCTTGAACAAGTCAATGCCTTAGTCTCTCCATCTGTAAAAGTGGGAACAATATTTCCCTACCTCACCAAAGGCTGAGAGGTTTAAATCATTGATGTTATAAAAGCACCTGGAACTTGGATGATCAAAGGTACTATAGAACTGGTTATAGTTATCAGTGCAGTGGCAGGCTGATGGATGTTAGAGGAAGGAATATATAGCACACTAAAACAGCTGGATGCCGGCAGGACTGTGTGGAGAATTTAACAGAGGCACTCAGGAGAGAGTCTAAATGCAGGGTAAAACAGCTGGTGCTATGCACATGAGACAGCTGAGGTAGCTACTACAAATATAAGTCCAAGCAAATGGAATATTGCAGGGAGAATGGATGTATGATGCCAGGATTGCACTTGAGGCAGACGTGTATTGCAGGGATAACTCTGATGGATGCTGTTGGAGGACACGCAGAAGCAAAGCACAGATCATAAGAGGAGCACTTTACCCTAGATATAGGGGAGTAAGGATGAAGAATACCACAAGCAGGATACAAATGCAGGGGAAAAGCAGATGGATGTTGAGGGCAAGGAGGTAGAAGGCACAAAGCATACAAGTGATTACCCAAAGATAAAGGGGGAAGATGTCCGTATTAACATAAAGTAAAGACACCCCAAAGAAAGTTACCATCTAGTATCACCACATCCCTGCTGTCCTGCAGTGGGGGTCTCTCCTCATCTCCACTGCCAGCAGCTCCTCGCCTCTTGTCTGCTTTCTTCACGACTTTCACTGCCGGGGAAGCCCTTGCTGCCAGGAACTCATTCTGAAATCGCAGCAGATCTGCCTCAGACTCTCCAGGCTTTGGCCTTGACAACATCCTGCTTCCTCACTCTTGCTGCCTGCACTAGAGCTGTGTGTCACTCTTAGGGTACCTGGTGCACACAAAGGAAACAAATTAGAGACTTGGATTCTGGGGAGAAACCCCCCACACGTTTCCTTCTGACACACACAGCTCTCCCACACTCTTGACTGCAGTACCCCACCCTCTTGAATCACCCCGACCACCATTCTTCCCATTAATGGCGCAAATGAACTGTGACCTTGTCTTCACTACCAGTCAATGCGCCACCAGACAAGCAGACACCTGCTCTGCCAGATATTTGGGAGCAAAACAGCATCAGTCCAACAAACACAGCCAGACAACAGGCATTGCTCTTTTCCATGATATTTAAAAACAAACTTTGCATGCAGCCTTTAATTGTGTGAGGCTGTTAGTGTTTAACCCCAGGTGGTGTAGTTGGATTTATCCTACTTTCAGCATAAAAATTAGTGCAAGATCACTCAGAAGGTGCAAACATAAAATTCCCTCTTTGGAATCAATCACCTCTCTCCACCCATCTAGCACTGGCCTCCTCTCAGAATTTTACCATTCTCTGTCCACCTTTTGTGCAAGAGCCATCTCCTCTGCAGCTCCTGCAAACTGGAACAACTTTCCTATATCTTCCTGCCTCTTTCACTCTCCATCTCACTCAAATCTTACCTGAAAAGTGATTTCTCCCTTGATTATCCCTCTTAATTTTGCCCTCCCTCTGTTCACTGGCCTTCTGCCTGGGATTTAATGTTTGGGGAGAAGGATGCTATAGAAAATAACTCTATATTTACAATCTAAATAATCTATATTTGGAATATGTGGATCACCTGTATTGAATCTATTAGAAGGAAATAGCTGGAATAGGGGACATAGTGCACCCCGGTATAACACCACTGACTTCAATGGCATTAGACTAGGGATGGATCCATCCCATTCCCTCACTGTTCTTTATCCAAAGACCCATATAAATGCAGCCATTATGTTGGGGGAGGGGGCAAAAACTCTCTATTTTGAAAAAAAGACAAGAAGTTCGGCAAAAATGTTTAGATTCAAGTGGCTATCTTTAGGCACCTAATAAAGTAGATTTTCAGAGGTGCTGAGGACCCTCAGATCCCATTAGCTTCAATGGTACTTGTGAGTGCTCAGCACCTCTGACTGTCAGACCCCTTTGTCTGATGCCTAAAGGAGGATTTTGGTGCCAAATTTTAGACACCCAAGTTTGAACACAATGGCCTAATGAAGGGGTTCTCAAACTGGGGGTTGGGATCCCTCAAGGGGTCATGAGGTTATTACATGGGGGGTCGTGAGCTGTCAGCTTCCACCCTAAACCCCGCTTTGCCTCCAGCATTTATAATGGTGTTAAATATATTAAAAAGTGTTTTTAATGTATAAGGGGGGTCACACTCAGAGGCTTGCTGTGTGAAAGGGGTCACCAGTACATAAATCTGAGAACCCCTGGCTTAATGCTTGTGACAGTTGCCAACTCAACAATCATAAAGGGTGTCCTTTATTTTTGCCAAGACCAGGTACAACATAGGCAACAGCAGGGTGAACTTCCCTACGCTACCCTGCCAACAGAACCATCTCTAGGAGCAAGAGGGCTTCTCCTCTGAGACTGCCAACAAAGGTCCCTCGAGTGGCTGCTGGCAGGTTTTTGGGGGCCCTGGAATGAGGCTGCTCTATATTAGGTAATAGGGAGGTAGCATTGTGCTATATTCTTTGTAAACACAAGAGAGCATGATTTTATATCACAATTCAGCATGTATTGGTGCTGGATTGCCTTTAAAGGGAGAAGGCAGAATGCTGCCTTACAATCTGGCTTCCTTCCAATGGCACTGCAACACCTGTGACTTATTTAGACACTTCTTCCTTCTTCACTTCACGACACAAGCACACATGCTTGTAGTTTATTTATGGAGCTCTCTGCCGCAGCAAGGGCTGCAATAATCTCATTTTGATTGATTGGTTTTCCCTATGATATGCATAAGCAGCACCACATGACATCAGAAACCCAGGACTTCAAAGACCATCACAGCCCAAATTATGATGGTGCTGGAATATCAGAAACAAATTGGCTAGAATCAAAATGTGTTGCAGATGCCCCTCAAATAAATGGCTCACCAATTCTTCCATCCTTGCCCTGCCTTCAACACTCAGATTTACACATGCCTACCTGGCTATTCTGTGCTTTACTCTCACCATCTGAAAATAATGGGGTCACAAAATCACTTTAGAACAGTCCAGAGAAAATCATCAGACACTGTGGGATGAAAGCCAGCCACAGAAGACACTGAGAAAGAGAGAGGGGTTTCTGGAACAAGTCAAAGCCACTCCCCTCAGCATGGGTGTAACTACCGCTCCTTGGAGTGCTGAGTAACAATAGAACATCAGAGTTATAGTGTGGATGAGAATGTAACCTTGTTCTGGAATCAGACTCACGCCTTGAACACCCACATTCCCGATTCCATCCATGTTGTAACTGGGTCAAGAGGCAGACATGTTGTAACCAGCTTCCCCAGTTTGGTGTATTTGTAAGTGTGGATGAGCCCGAAATGGTTTAAATACATTTGATGCTAGCAGGTGGGCAGGAGTAGCATGCACGGGATCATTTTTTCCCCAATACTTTTATTCTATCTAGACCATTCACCAGACTACCTACGGGATGACTGCAGTACAGTTTGGTTTGCACAGCTGTCAGAAAGCCCTTCTCACAGCTGGCAGAAAAAGTATGCTAGAACATTGCCAGCAATAACCATATTGCTACTAGTGGAGCTCTGAACCCAGTGCAGCAGGAACTTAAAGACTGGTCCCAATTGCCTTGCAACTCAGGCCTCCATCTGCACTACAAGAAGAACCTTAATACATAGCAACAGAGTCCTGTGGCACCTTTAAGACTAAGATGTATTGGAGCATAAGCTTTCATCCAATACATCTGTTAGTCTTAAAGGTGCCACAGGACTCTCTGTTGCTTTTTACAGATCCAGACTAACACGGCTACCCCTCTGATACTTAATACATAGTTATCTGCCACACTTAAGAGTGTCCATATATACATTTTTTTATTACAATTATTTTTGGTAAAACACCTACCAGCACCGTTGATAGAAAGTAATGATCTATAAACATCCTGGAGACCAGTGTTTTAGACTAGATATGGAGAGGGGGGGATGGGAACAGGTGTAGGAGATTCATAGAATCATAGAACTAGAAGGGACCTCGGGAGGTCATATAGAGCACTCAAGGCAGGACTATTATCTAGACCAGTGGTCCCCAACCTTTTTGTGGCCAGTAGCACATTCATGTTTTCAGAAAAGTGTGGCGGGCGCCAACAATTTTTCAAGGCTTATTTTGTATTTGTACATTAAATAATACAAAAAACATCATATTTAATATTACATAATATATGAATCCAGAGAGAAGACGGAGAGAAGCCGCGAGGACAGAGAATGATGAGGCAATATTTACCATTATAATGGTAAATGAGTATGTTTCTAAGAGTTGCAAAGCTTCCCAGAATCAGCATTAAAGTCTGTTAAGTGAGCGGGTCCATCTGTCCCTCCTCTCACTGGATACAAAACAATTGAAAGTTGTTGATTTGGGAGGTTTTTGTGTAGCATACAACTTCATTACTGGAGCATCCCATACTTAGAAAATTTCTTCCAGCAACTCCTAAATTCACCTCCCACTTATGGTGATGGGTACTGACTCAGTTTAAGACATCTGCCTGAAAATATTTGCTGATTTGATGTGAGCCACTACCATAGTGATTTCTGATTAGGTGCCAGATGAACTGTGCTTATACTGGGGGAGCGTGAACAGAAGGAAAGCTATAAGCAGCCTGTAAGTGATAAGACAGCAGCTCTGGCTTAGATGTGGCTAATAAATGAGGAAGGGCACCCCATTCCGGAGTGTAGGAAAATTCCTCTCTGATTGTGTCAAGTATCAGGGGGTAGCCGTGTTAGTCTGTATCTACAAAAACAACAAGGAGTCTGGTGGCACCTTAAAGACTAACAGATTTATTTGGGCATAAGCTTTCGTGAGTAAAAACCTCACTTCTTCGGATGCATAGAGTGAAAGCTACAGATGCAGGCACCAGACTCCTTGTTGTTTCTCTGATTGTGAGGAGTCTCTGAACCCCAAGGTCTCTTATTTTCCCCATCCCCAATATGACATTGTTAACTCCTTTCAATCTTAGTCACCAAAGTGGACCAGAAGGGACCTGCCCCTCAATCACAGCTCCTAAATCAGACAAAGGGATCACTATAGGGCAACATAAGGTGCTTCCTCCGGCCAGAGGCTGAGCACACTCTCTCCATAACATCTCCAGTCCTTTCCTGCTGGCCTTGAAGTGGGGTAGTGAAGGGAGAGAGGCAGAGAACTGCACTCAGGCAGGCCTCCCTCATGGCAGTGCAGAGATCAAGGAAGGTCACAGCCATAGTGCTCTAAATCAATGTCAATGAAAGACTAACTGAGCTATTTATCTGTCTACTAAACCAATGTGTGCTATGTTGTATTGCCCCTCATGAAAGGCTTTTTTCATCCTACAGACTGTGGCAACTGACACCAAAAAAAAACAACAACCACCCCGTAACAGATATGGGAATTGGGGTGGTAACTGTAGCCTGTAATCAACAGTATAGGTAGCCAAATATCCTGAGCTATAACCAGTCTAACCCTGGAAGAGGGCCTGCTGAATGGGCCACATGCAGGAGAAAAAGCTAGGTTTATATTGGTCACAGAATATTTAATACCTGCATTTGGACCAGGTAACAGTGAATGCCTTAGGAAAAATTAGTGCCCCTACACTATCCATTGGGTCTTTGGGGTAACGGAAGCCTCAAGAGTTACTGCAGAGGGCCAAATATTAAAATAAAGGAAGATATCTGCTGTTAATAGATCATTACAGTAGACTAAACGAAAGTACTCAGCAGTTTTTTCAGAGTATGCAACATTGATGGGGTTTTGGTATACAGTACAAGTCATTCTATGTGAGGATTTTGAGATAGATTATAAAAATAGGCTTAGGTTAGAACCTGTAGAAGTAAATGGCTCTTGGTCTGAAAAATAATTTGTCAAACTAACTTACACACAGGTTAGTTACGATTATATAGTGATATTCACCATATGGTGAAATTTATTGCCACTGTATGTGCTGGAGGTTGCTGCTGGTTGGAGGAAGAGGGTGGTTAATGTTTTGTTGTGCTTTCAAAACATTGTCCGTGGCACCAAAAATTTAGGGTAAGTGCCCATTTTTCAACTATTTGTTGTAAATCTAAATATACCTAACATTCCAACATACATTCATAAGCCAGGGCAAAACTGATATGTCCTAGTAAGGTTTATTTCTCACATCTGTGACTACATGTCCCTTTTAGGTCAACATGTGTCCAAGACGGTAGCTAAGGGTATGTCTACACTGTAATTAGACACCCACTGCTGGCCCATGCCAGCTGACTCAGGCTCAGCGTAAGGAGCTGAGCAACAGTGGTTTGGGCTCAAGCCCAAACTCTGGGACCCTCAGCCCTGGCAGGGTCCTACAGGTTGGGCTCCAGCCTGAGCCCAAACTTCTACACCACAATTAAACAGCTCCTTAGCCAGAACCCCCTGGACACAGTCTGAATCAGCTGGCAGGGGACCAGCTGTGGGTTTTTAATTGCAGTGTGAACATACCCTAAGCGTTTCCAATTCCTCAGTAATAGCAGAGAGTGCCTATATAATCTCCAATAGCACTTTTATATCCCTTAAAGGGTCCCCTGGTGGTGGTGGTGGTGGGCGGGTTAGAATTTTTCCTTCCCTTTGCGGGTCACCTCCAATTTACCTCTGAATGGCTAACCCTAAATCTCAAACTTTTGCCGGCTTTCACCCAGCACCCTCCTACCACACCATTACTGCGACCCACTGTGTTTCTGGGTGGTTGCTAGACACGTGTGTGTGGGTCTCCGGGTGGTGGGCGGCGGCGGGGCGGATTGGCCCCTGGCTGCGATCTGCTGGCGGGGAGGGGGGGCGGCAGGGAAGTAAGGAAATGGGCAGTATTGGGGTACTCCGCTCCGGAATAAGACAGGGAGATTTTCTAGCAAGGCACGAAGCGAAACTTTCTGTCTCTGTCTGACACACGCTTCCCGGGCGCAGGAAGGACGGACGGACACACATACACCCCCGAGGGGGTTTTACTGCTGCCCACACGCCAGTGGCCCAGGCCCAGGGCGGGAGCGGATCTGTGCCGCATGAAGAGCGGGAGATCTGCTCCTGCTGCCTGTCCCCACTCAGCCCCGTCCTTCGCCCCCTGGCCAAACGCGGCTCCCCGCCGCCGCCCCGAGGGGAACAGCCCTGGACAAGCCTCTGCCCCAGTCCCTGGCTGACACTAACCTGCGCATGTGGGCCGCCCCTGCCATCCCGCCAGCCGCAGCACTTCCGCCCCGCAGGTATCGTCACTTCCGCCCGTCGGCCGCGCCTTTTCACCCCCGGCTAGAGCGGTTTCCATAGCTCTTGTCTCCGCCTACCGCCGCCATATTGGAGCCGTGGGAGAAGAATAGCCCGAGGCAGGGCGGCGGCTCACGTGGGCTGATGGGGTTGTGCGGGCCGAATGTGTGACGCAAGCAGCGTATGTCTCCGGGAGTCCGCCTCCCTGACGTGGGGCTGTCAGTCAACGCCCGCTGGGGAGCTGCAGCCTGGGCCCGCGAGTGAGACTCGCACGTGGCTAGGCCCCTCCTGTCGCCGCCCCGACAGCGTATCCTAGCGCCAACTGGGCCCTGCCTCGCGCCTCTGCCCCGCAGCGCGTGCCTGGCTCCTTCCCCTGTCCCACGCGAGCCCAACACGGCCATTCCCCGCCACTGCCCAGAGCCCGCTTGGCTGGCAGAACGCCCTGTGCGGAGAGGACCTCGCGCTCCCAGGGAGCCAGAGCCCCGCTCACTGAGGAAGGAAGGAGATACCAACTGTGGCCGTATCCAGCCTGCAAATCCCTGGGGAGGTGCTTAACTTGCTGCGCGTGGGAGTTCAGCCGGGCTGCTCCACTGCCTAAAGTTAAGCCTGTGCATGAATCTGTGAACATTTGGAGCGAGGCAGGAGCAGTAGAGGGGACTGAATTCCCCATTGCAATGTGTCGGATTTGCAGCAGGTAAAAGGAATATTAATTAAAGCTGATCTCCTGGGTATGCCCCTGAAGAGCTGCCAAGTCTCTTGCTTCTCCCAGTAGACAGTTGCTTTTGGGCCTGGCACACTAGCCTACCAGCAAAAACCCAATCTGCTAATGCTGGCCTGCAGAGTCAGTGAGAAACAGTGGCACTAAAATGCTGGCACTAAAAATCAATGCCACTTAAATATTTCCCTGAATCCTCTTATGATGTAGATTGTCCCAATTCAGGTTCTTGGTATTCAAGACAATCTTAAGGATCCAGGGTTTTAATTCTTGTGCCTGGATTTATGTAAATACTTTAAAAATTATGCAAATTTACAATCTTGCTTTTTATGTTGTTGTTATAAGGTGTTTGCATGAGGAGACTGGAAACACTAAAGGAGAAAACGTGTCTATAGCAATATGAGTGTAACTGACTATATAACTTCCATTGCTTTTTGCAGTGGTGGTGTAGCTGTGTTGGTCCCAGGATATTAGAGAAGGTGAGTGAGGTAATATCTTTTATTGGACCAACTTCTGTTGATGAGTAAAAAAAAAAAAAAAAATAGAAAAAGCTGCTGTTACCTACAGAAAAGGAGTAACTGCCTTTAGAGCTTTCACCTTTTTCCACTTTGTATATGTATTGTGTGGGGGCGGGATTATAAATGCCAATCAAAGGATTTAGATCAGGGATGCCCATACTGTGGCCTGAGGGGCAAATACAGGCTGTGGAATTCTAATTTGCTCTTCATAGCCATCCTGTCCCTCCAGGGTCTGAACCAAGTTGATTGTCTGCAGGATTTTAAAATTCTTTTCAGTAGATAAAGGAGGATAAAAGTAAAAGCAAATATTGAGTGTGTATGAATTACTAAAACATGTAAATCTCTATGCAAACAGCCCCTAGTCTCCTGGCAGGCAACCAGCGTGACTGTCAGTGTTGCAGATTTGGGACACATCTTGGCCTAAAACCAAGGTCATGATAAACTTAAAATGTCAAAAGGGGAGAAATTCAGTTCTGCACCAAAAACACTAAACAGAGAACTTCCTTCTCCTCAGCCATTAAAGTCCTCCAACAGGCCATGCTGCTTCTAGGAATGGCAAAGTTAAGAACCCCTCCATTGTGGTTCTTTGAGGGTATTTTTTTAAATAAAAGAGTGGCAAGCACAGAAAATATCCTATAGATGCACAGTCCAACCCACCAGCTAGGCAGAGAGATCACAGGAACAATTCTGATTCTGACCCAATGATCTGCACCCTTCTACAGTCTGCTTCTGGAACTAACGTTGCCTGATTCTGATTAAGGCCATCATGGCTGTTGGCCTTCACATGTTGAGCAGTTAATACTACATCTAGTGTACTTAGGAGCTGCTATATTTATCCCTCATGTTAGGAACACCTAACTACCTGTGTGGGTTCCCAGGAAAGGAACCCCCCGAATCTTTGGAGCTCCTCTGATGCTGCCCTATAAGAGTGCAGCTCTTCTGCTGGCAGAGCTGTGATTTGCATTTGCTAAAGAAACTGGAAGAGAGTGAAAGATTCACAGAGAACTATGTTGCTTCTAGAAGCCTGGACATTGCAGCACAGGCTAGCCACCTGAGTACAAACCCAGAGAGTTGGGCTGTTGCTCGTGCCATGGTGTTCACACTGCTAGTTTTAGTGTGCTAGCTTGAGCAGAGCTAGTGTATGTCTGTGTACCCAGGCTGGGAGGCATGCTCCCAGGTGCACCCTGGGAGACTTAAGGCCTGATTCTGCCCTGCATTGAAACCTTCCTAGTTACACCAGCATAAAACTGAATGGACAGTCAGGCACTTACCTTTAGTTTGTAGTTCCCAGGTTCTTCTGTTCTGGGGATGGGGGAGTAGATAACGCAGCTTTTGGGGGGGGGAGAGGCATGTAGATGGAGTTTGAAATAATTATTTAAGTTGCTTGGTATTGGACCTCTAGGGCCAAAATCTGTACCCATTGACTTCAATTGGTTTTGGATTATGCCCCTAGTTCAGGGCACAGCACCTTTCAGAAGTGCTGTGCCGAGTCTTCATTTATTCACTCTAATTTAAGGTTTCGTGTGCTAGTAATATATTTTAACATTTTTAAAAGGTCTCTTTCTATAAGTCTATAATATATAACTAAACTATTGTTGTATGTAAAGTAAATAAGGTTTTTAGAATGTTTAAGAAGCTTTATTTAAAATTAAATTAAAATGCAGAGCCCCCGGACCGGTGAGCAGGACTCAGGCAGTGTGAGTGCCACTGAAAATCAGCTTGCGTGCTGCCTTTGGCACGTGTGCCATAGGTTGCCTACCCCTGCCCTAGTTCATTTAAAGTAAGGAGGCCGCATTTTAGTTTGTTATAAGGCTTTAGTTAATCTCTAGAATAGACTGGTCAAAGCATGACTAACAAATAATCTGCAGAGAGCAATACTATGCTGTAAAAGGGATGGACTAGGTGACCTAACAGGAATTAGTATTTTTCATCTCTGATTTATCTCAAATCTTCTGTTCAAGTTCTGAGGTCTGTATGGTATGACAGGTACTGTAGGCATGAAATAGGGAAGTGTCCATAATATTTTCTGTCAGATAGGTATAAAAAAACCCTCAATATTCAATTATAAATTTCTCCCAGACAAGAAGACTTCCTGTCAAAGCTGCCAGAGTTGTATGCATCTTCCCCCTCATTATTTTTTTATAATCAGTTTTAATAATACAGTCAGATGCTATATATAGTCTATGCTATCAATAAATCATGCCCATGCATCTTCATATTTGTCCTATAATTTATAAGTACCAGTTTACTTGTGTGCATCTGTTAAATTATTCTGGCTAACAAAATGTCCCTAGTCCAGTTCCAGGAGTCATGAGAGGTGAACTGCAATGCTTTTTAACTTAGAATTAAAGAAAGAAATTGTATTAGATTTTATGGACTCCTTCCCTTCAGTCACAAACCTGGATAATCATCTTCATTCCCAGTTCTAGCCCACCACAAGCCTCCATTTTAACACCTTTTAGTAGAAGCTATTCATCTTCTGATCAAGGGATGGCCATGACAGTCTCTCCCTAAGGGCCATATGCTTCCCCTCCATTGAGTGGCATGGAAGAGAGCAGAATGACAAAGATCTCTTGGAAGCGGGCTTGGAGGATTGTATGAAGGAGAAGGCAATGGGGATATACAGTATGTCCACCAAGTCTGTCGCAGAGCTGCAACATGATAAAAATAGTGACAGGCTGCCTGAAAGGGGGCTGGCTGGGAGATACAGCTACAGTTGGGGTGTTCTTCCTCCAAAAAGATGGAATTTATGCAGCACTAGTCAGCCCTCTCCACTGTGGAGTTAATCCTGCAAGGTGCTGAGTGCCATCACTTCCCATTGAAGTCAGTAAGAATGAAGGCGCTGAAGGCTGCAGAGGAGTGCTCAGCACTTCACAGGCAAAGCCATACATGAACCCCCTGGGAAGACCCATAGCCCAGTCCAGCAAAGCACACAAGTATGTGTGTAGCTTAAAGAATGAGTAGTCCCCCATGTAGTCAAAAGGAACTACTCATATGCTTAAAGTTATGCACATTATCACACCACATTGGCACCTCCTGCTGGCTGTTTCAGGAATTAGCTCTGGTCAGCAGGTATGCCCTCCAGTGGTAGCAGTTCTCCCATCCTCATCTTTACCTGCAGACTCACTGCCTCTGCTTTGTGGCATAGCCCTCCAGCTGTGTCACAATCCAGGTTCCCCCCTTCCCAGGGACTCCTTCCACAACAGTCTAGCTGCTCCTTGCAGTGACTTTGCAGTCCATAGCCTGGCTGCTTCTTCAGCAGAGTGGGGGGGAAGAGAACCCAAGCCCACCCCCTATTCTGGGTCCCAGCTCCAGCCACAATTCTGGGTCCCAGGCCAGGGACCCTGTAAACAACAGCTTCCCACTGGCTCTCCTTTCTTTCTCCACCAGTGTCAATTCCCTGGGCCACTTCCCCACAGCCCCAGCTCCTGCCTCTGGCTCCTTCACCCTCTTCCCAGGGCCTCAGGCCTGCAAGTCCTAGCAACCCTGTTCACAGTACTAGTCCCCTTCTTTGGGCTTCCTGTTGCACAGTCACTTGGTTTGGCCTGCAGCTTCCTTTTATATAGGTCAGCTGGGCCCTGATTGGCTAGTCCAGCTGCTTCCCTAATTGTCTGTTTCCTTGCAGCCCTCCAGGCTGTTTTAACCCTATCAGGGCCAAAGCGGGGCAGACACCCTGTCACACACATCCATATGAGCACAGCTGGAGTCAATGACAGCTTTGTTGCAAGTGGGACAAATTGAGAGGCAAGCAAAGCCAATGTGCATGTCCATATATACCCAGAGATCCACCGACAGAGTTCTGGATGGCTTTTCTTTTAGATCTCCAGCCTTCATGGGGATTTGAACCCAGGCCTACTGT